AGAGAGAGAGAGAGAGAGAGAGAGAGAGAGAGAGAGAGAGAGAGAGAGAGAGAGAGAGCAACCTGTGAGCGTGTGTCTGTGTGTTCTTATAATAAAGAAAAACCGCACGCGAGAGAGAGAGAGAGAGAGAGAGAGAGAGAGAGAGAGAGAGAGAGAGAGAGAGAGAGAGAGAGAGAGAGAGAGTCCATTGAGACCTCTATTGAAAAACACGTGTGAACTCGAGAGAGAGAGAGAGATCTAACAAACTACGCACCCCCCCACCCCCCCCCTTCCCCGACTATCAAGTGTGGTATCTGCATGCTCCGATCAGTTTCATATCTGATTCGTGGTCCACCGAGCCCTTAAAAAAAGAAACCGCACGATCGCGCGCGCGAGAGCGAGAGAGAGAGAGAGCCCATTCTAACTAACTACGTGGCGCCCCTCCTTCCCCCCCACATGATCAAGTGACTTGTCTGCTCCAGTGAGTTTCATATCTGATCCGTCGTCCAACGAGACCCTATAAAAAAAAAAAAAAAAACTGGACGCGTGCATGCGTGTGTGAAAACGAGAGAGAGGGAGAGAGACTCCAATCTAATTAACCACATGCCTCGCTCCCCCCCCTTCCCCCCACAACGATCAAGTTTAGTATATGCCCCAATCAGTTTCATATCTGATCCGTAGTCCATCGACACCTTGAAAAAAAAAAAAAAAAAAAACATGCGCGCGTGTGAAAGCGAGAGAGATTGTGAGAGACGAGAGAGAGAGAGAAACACTAACCAACTACGCTCCCCTCCCCCTCCCTCCTTCCCCCCCCGCCCCCGCTTACAACGAACAAGTGTAGCAACGGCTCCGATCAGTTTCATATCTGATCCGTCGTCCATCGAGTCCTTTAACCACCCCAATCGAACTAACTATGCCCCCCCCCTCCGGCATGTTCAGGTGTAGTATATGTTTCCCCCCCCGCGAACCCACCAAACCCTTCAGCCTCCACAGGTCTTTCGGAGGTAACTCCCATGCAAATGTAGAAAGCAAAAAGAAACAGAAAAAAAAGACCGTTTTTCGAAGGCTTTCTGACCTCCAGGAGCAATGCATCGACTGAGTCAACAGGAGTACACAGGTGAGCCAAAATTGCTGCCAAATCCCCCCCGACCCTGTCCCCCCCCCCCCCCCCCTCCTCCAAATCCCCCCTTTCACATTTGTGCTTTTTGCCCTCCGTTTTTTTTTGCAAGCGAAGCTGCAACAGGTCATCTAGTAATGATGTTAATTCATATGCATTTGGCACAAGCGGTTATCGAGTAGCTGAAAATTCAGGAATGAAAATTCTGAAGTGAGAGTTTTAGGCAGTCTGAAAATCCTGAATGGTTCTGAAGTGGTGAAAGGTTCGAAGACCCTGAAAACCACCTGTTTAGGCAGGCTGCATCCTGAATAGGTGAAGGGTGTCCTAAAGTGGTCAAGTGAAAGTTTTGGGCAGTCTGAAAATCCTGAATGGTCCTGAAGTGGTGAAAGGTCCGAAGACCATGAAAACCACCCTTCACCACTTGAGGATGCAGCTTGCCTAAACATGTGGTTTTCAGGGTCTTCGGAACTTTCACCACTTCAGGACCATTCAGGATTTTCAAACTTGAATGGGCCTGAAGTGGTGAAAGGTCCGAAGACCCTGAAAACCACCTGTTTAGGCAGGCTGCACCCTGAAGTGGTGAAGGGTGTCCTGAAGTGGTGATGAAAAATACGACTGTTGTTAACCTTCTCTCAAGTGGAAAGGAGTGCAGGCGCAGGGGAGCACTGGCGGACGGGAGTGGAAAGGAGTGCAGGTGCAGGGGAGCGTTGGCGCAGGAGAGCGCTAGCGAAGGGGTGCACTGGCGGAGAGGTGCACTGGCGGAGGGGAGCGGAGGGGAGCACTGGTGCGAAGAGTGGCGGAGTAGCAGGTGGAGGGGCGGTGTGTTATGATTCTGGTTGGTTTTTGTCTGAAGACCGAAGACCAACACTCACTCGCATAGACTTTCAGGCATGCCCATACATACACAGAAGGAAGGGGAGAGGATAGGAGTATCGCACCGCACAGGGAGAGATAAACACAGCGGAAGACTTGACCATGCGATATGACAGTGTACACTGAAAGTGCAATTCACTCCACTCCATCCTCACAACCAGTCATAAAGAAAAGTCGAGCAGATCACATCCAGGAAACAATGAAACGATGATAGTCCAAACCCAGTTATACACTGTTTATTAAACTTAAGAGTCTAGAATTGTCAGGACAACTTCAGTACTACACTTCATTCCCCAAACCTGATTAGCACCCGTAACACCCCTGAGTCCCTGAAACATCAAGCGCCCCCACATACAGCCTCCTGAGGGAAGCGCTGCACTGAAACAGGCCTCTGAGGCCAAGCGCCACTCACAGGATGAAGAAGAAGACCAGCGCCACAGTATCTGATGATGACGAAGTGTCCGAAGACTTCCCGGGTGGAAGTCTGCAGCAGCGCCACCAAACCCTGACAAGATGACCTCTGAGAAGAGGCTGCAACTATGGCTGCCGCGCCACCACCCTGGAACCCCACTCCGGAGGAGGGTCCAGCAGGGCACCAATCTCTCTCGCCTCCAGCAGACCTCGATAACCCAGACCTCTGTCAGCCCCTGCGTGCTGGCAGAGTAAGGCACAGGTCCCTGCTATGGCCGGCGCTCCGAAGGTCTAGCTATGCCTGTCTCCTTCTACACTGAGCCGTCACCACTTCCGGTTCATGCATAGCGCAGCAGCGATGTACTCCGTACCAACTGCCAAAAGCCCTGAAAGGATGTGCCCAATCTATCTATAGACTACAACTAGCCTAGACTCAACCTAGACTGAACTGACTGACCGACCGGTACCGTTTCTGTTTCGGCCTCTCGGCCTCTACCGGACCTAGCTACAGGCTATAGGACCGTCTATCAGAATAGGCCCTTAGGGCCTGTCTGTCCTAGGGGTAGCCCGGGCCTGCTATTCACAGTTAGGGTAGGTGTAGGGAATTATGTTAGTGTCGGGCCTGTATTTTTCCCAGATTTGCAAATATGTCCCTCACGAATTTCCCTCACAGGTAGGTCTCTCGGTTACCCCTCAACCAAACAAAATTACGGATCTGTCCTACCTATAGAACAGCCTCGACAGAGAGAGGCTACAAGCGACCAGAAAACAGCAAGTCATTGCAGGTGGATAGGTGGAGATGGAGGAGCATGGAGGCGGAGAGCGGTGGAGGAGGGGGAAGGGCCGGAGGAGCAGCAGATAGGTGGAAGGGCGGTGGATAGGTGGAAATGGAGGAGTTGGGGGGCGGAGAGCGGCAGAGGAGGGGTAAGGGCCGGAGGAGCACCCGATAGGTGGAAGGGCGGTGGATAGGTGGAAATGGAGGAGCTGGGGGGCGGAGAGCGGCGGAGGAGTGGGAAGAGCCGGAGGAGCAGCCGATAGGTGGAAGAGTAGTGGAGGAAGGGGGGGAGCACAAGCGGAGCGGAGTGGCCGGAAGGGAGCGCTGGTAGAGGAGAGCTGGTGGGGGGTGTGCTGGTTGAGGGGAGCGAAGCGGGGCGCTGGCGGTTGAGAGCGCAAGGAACACAGGTGGAGGGGAGTGGGAGGACGGGAGTGTATGGGAGCGCTGGCGGAGGGGAGGAGGGGAGTGGAGGCGAGCGCTGGCGGAAGGGAGGAGGCGAGTGGAGGGTAGCGCTGGCGGAGGGGAGGAGGGGAGTGGAGGGGAGCGTTGACGAAAGGGAGGAGGGGAGCCGAGGGGAGCATTGGCGGAGGGGAGTGAAGGGGACCGTTGACGGAGGGGAGTAGAGGGGAACGCTGGTGGGGGGGTGCGCTGGTGGAGGACAGAGAAAGGGAGCGCTGGAGGAGGGGAGCAGTGGGAAGGAGGGGCAGGGGAGGAGCGGAGCCTGGGGAGGGAGGGGCGGAGGAAGGGGGGGGGGGAGGGGGGCCACTGACCTGAATCTCCCATCTTTGTGCGTCGTTCAGGCGTCGACGGTCGAACATTGCATGCCCATCACTGTGCCCACCACATCTCACAGTCTACCCATGACGCCAGCCAACCGCTCACCACATCCAAAGGCCGACTGAAGTTGATCTCTCTCTCTCTCTCTCTCTCTCTCTCTCTCTCTCTCTCTCTCTCTCTCTCTCTCTCTCTCTCTCTGTGTGTGTGTGTGTGTGTGTGTGTGTGTGTGTTTCATGCCCAGATAGGCGATGTACATAATAACCGAGGATCCGCAATGTGATAAAAGGAACTGAATGTACAATGCAGTGCAAGTAGAATCTCAACAAGCAATGTGCATTCTGATACATACAAAATGAAGATACAAATCCTGACCAGAACGGGACTGACCTCATTCACGTAGTACAAGATAGCGAAGCACACTGCGAGAATGCTAATGACTAGCCCAATCAATGTTTAAACGCAGACCAAACATGCATCGTGTCCATCACAAGGTGTGAAGGAGCCTGGCGCTGTACCCAGGAAGGAAGCGCCAGGTCCAGACATACACAGACGAAGAGGAGGGGATCAGACAAAGAAGAGGGGGAGAGATGGGAATGTCGTCAACACCAAGTCCTTGTCACAAGTCCCAAATAATCCCTCGTCGCAATGTCTGAAGCCCAAAAGTAGAGTCTGGATCCAATGTCACCAAGCTCTCTCTCTCTCTCTCTCTTTCTCTCGTAGTCTGCTGATGCAGTGAAGTCAGATAATGAGAGGGTGAGAGGGAGATGGTGGACTGAGAGGAGGAGGAAGAAGAACTCTCTCTCTGTCACGAGCCAGATACTAACCTGTGAAGTTGGCGCTGTGCTGCAGGTACCTCGAAGACGAAGCTGGAGCAACGGCGCCGCAGGTCTCCGCCCAATCTCTCTCGCTCTCTCTAGTACTATCCTAGCTATGGCGCCCAGCGCTGAAGACTACAGCTACCTATTGGCGCCCAGCGCTGAAGACTAATGCTAACGCTACTACTACTCCTGCAGCGCTCCCTCTCCCTCCAGAGTGCTGCTGCCGAATCCTGAAGACTACTGACTGCCTCCTGCCTGCCCGTGAAGTGCATGGGAAGTCCCTATGTACTATCTCGGCCTGCCTCCTGACTGCCTCCGACTGCCTGCAGTTGCAGGGCTGGCAGTCCAGGAGGCTGCTCTTGCCAATGCCGAACTGAGCCAGGGGCTGGCGCTGCAGCTGTCATGGGAACAGGCCAAAAATAGCCTGTTCCTAAAACCCTGGTTCAGTGCCTGAGTTTCAGGGCAGGCCGGTCTGATGACAGACCGGAAATGGCCCTTCGTTTCAGGCTAAAAAG